GCTCAGTACTGGACACCCCAGCCTTGCCTAAAACTGCTGGATTCCAGATGTTTTGGGTCTTCAGCTTCCAGAACTCCCCACCAGTCACAGGACTTAAAATGTCATACACCTGGAGTGGGCCAGGTTGGGAAGCCTGACCTCTACCTGTCAGATGGGATCAATAGATGGAATGCTTCTTCAAGAAACACACTTGGGACTTGCAATAAAAGGATGCTGGGTGGGAGGATGGGGTTCAGGATTCCATCCTGTCCTACCTGCTTTAGTTTCCTGATTGCTGATTCCTGCCACAGCCAGCATTTTGTGGACCCTGAGCTATTATTGAGAGTTTCCCACTCTATGTGGAAGTTCTTCTCAAGACCACTATCTGCAAACATTGGGATTCCTCCTGTCTCTCCCCTAAGCCCTTTTGGGCTAGATAAGCCACAGCGTTCTCAGCCTGATCACCAATGGTAGAGAATGGTTGCATCGCATCGCATTGTGTTTGAAAATGGGGTCAGATGGCGTTCACACAGCAGCCTCCCCACCAGGCTGAGTTTCAGGAGAATCCTCCCCACCACACTGCTGCAAAAACAGGAGCAATCCCATGGGACAGAATTCCTCCCTCCCACCCCCGCTTTTAAGCACCAACTTTCAGGGTTGAGTTTGCCTGGCCCCCAGACGGTGGAAAAGACAATAAAGCAGCTTGCATCTCTCGTGATGCTCCAGGGTCTGATCATAATGAAGTCATAGATTTTTCCATAAGTCCAGGCAGATCAGCTGCTTCTGAGATTAGGGTGGGCAATAACTCATTCTGCAGAAGAGCCACCCATTGATTTTTCCAGTCATTATATACATCTGCTGGCTGGCTCTGTTGCAACTTACCACTCTTGATGCATCATCAACCAGAGTCTACCTGAGCCTGAAGCCGTGGCTTTGGCACTGCTTCCTTCTTTGATCTCCATCAGGCCACAAAAGAAGCTGGATGCAACATCTGAGGCAATAACAATGCTGTTCCCAGCTGATGCCAGCAGTAGGTCATCCTGTCACTTTCTGGATTAGTGTATGCAGCATTGGCAATGCAATTCCTAAAAGGTTCTTCAGAGTGCATGGGGGCAAAGACAGCACCTACTTGCAGCTCTTTAAAGCAGCTGAGTCCATGCCAATCCTTTAAGTCTGCAGGTTTGTGCCTTGCCGTGCTCCAAAGCTCCTTTCTGGAATCAAATCTGAAGCCCTGAATGTTTCTACTCCAGTTGTGTTGGGACCACAAGTCCCAGAATTCTCAGGAGCAGTTCCCACCCATCTGGAGAATGTTGGGTTGGTCAGGGCTGATCTAGAAACAAATCTAAAAAATTGGCCTTATGCTAAGCCATAATATGGATAATTTGTTGTTGACAGTACATGGTGGTGTGTAAACCATACTTTATGGCTTACCATGTGGGAACGTAGCTATTTGTGCCTTATTTAACAAATTAGATGAAGTACATCATGCTTTGCCACTTATGTAAATCCAGAATCTTTCATCCTACCCTCAAAGCCATTGTACAATAGAGTAAGTGAACTAGAATATTGAATAACCATGAAAGCCTTGGAAAAGATATTCAAATGCTGTGATGTCTCTATACCTACAAAGATCAGAATTGTGCAAGCCATAGTATTCCCTGTGACACTCTATAGAAGCAAAAGTTGGACTTTAAAGAAGTGGGATAGGAAGAATATTGACACTTTTGAACTTTGGTGTTGGAGAAGACTCCTGAGAATACCGTGAAGAGCCAAAAAACAGATGATCATCAAAGAAATCAACCCAGAGTTCTTACCTGAGGCACAAATGGCCAAGCTCAAATTATCCTACTTCAGATACATTATGCAAAGATCCAGCTCTCTAGAGAAGGCTGTAATGCTGGGAAAGGTGGAAGGAAAGAGAAGAGGACAACCAGCAACAAGGTTGGAGGGACTCAGTTACAGTTGCAATGAGTGCACCATTGGAAGAGCTGAAGGACCAGGTTAGGATGGCTCATCAGGGAGAAAATCTATCTGTGTGGTCACTAAGAGTCGACAGTGACTTGATGGCATGTAATCAATCAATCAATCAATCAAGTTTCTACTGGTTTCATCTCTACTCTGAATCCAGAGGACAGTTAGATAGGCAGGAGACCCCCTGCTGTCTTTGAATGTCACCAGGATCCGCTCTATGGCATTCCTCTTGCACACCTCACACAGAATTGTCTCCACCCTCTCCTGTGATGACAAAGGAATGAGTGGCATCCACCCGCTACCCCTGATCTTTCAGCTGCACCACCATGTGAGAACCCCTTCAAAGGTCCAGCTCATGTCTATAGAATCTTCACAGAGAGAAGTTTGCCTCTCTCTAATGAGTCATTTTTCTGACTATCATCCTAATTCTTGGTTCATCTGTCTTCCCTGTTGTGTAACATCATCCTTTTTCCCTGCCAGAAGGAGATCCAGTTTCTCCCCGGGTTGTTATCCTGCATGCTCCCTGATGCTCACATGCCTGAGGTAAGATTCAGCATCCACCGTTTTGGAACAGCACATCTCTTACCTTCACACTGAATCACAGGGGAACCACCACACACCCCTCCTGCTGCTGGGGTGCCACACCCTGTTTCAGACGCAGTCTTACCCAAAGTGACGTTTCCCCAAAAGACTCTTTGCTGAGCTGCGCAAAAGCAACACATGAAAAAGTGAACCATGGAAAGATGAGCAAGAAAACACAATCCTTATCTGCAAAACAAAGTTGTTCTTTGGGCAGCTTTTCTCCTGAGCCCACTTCTCCTTGCTCCACATGGTGCAACTTTCCCATGGAAAGACCTCCCCCCATCCCAAATCTGGTGGGACTTAGGTCTCAGTCAGGTTCACACTCACTGCTTTAGGGTAAGTCATGGTGTCTCAATCACATTTATCTACAAGAAGCAACTGACCAGCTTGTTGGTAAGAAATCAGTAACTGTGGAGTCCTTGGTGCTTCCTGAGCTTGGTTGTTTTCTTGCAGACGTTTCATGACCCAACTAGGTAACATCATCAGTGCTACTGAGTGTGAGGTTTGCTCCCTGTTTACATATAATAGCTTGCCCTGCCAGCTTTGGTGGGGGTGTGGTTTTCTGCTGGTTTGTCTGGTGTTAATCTCTGCTAAGCAGAAAACAATGTCCTAATCAAGGAACTACCAAGGAGAAAACCACACCCCCACCAACACTGGCAGGACTGTATATAAACAGGGAGCAAACCCCTCACTCACTAGCACTGATGATGCTAACTAGTTGGGTAATGAAATGTCTGCAAGGAAACAACCAAACTCAGAGAGCACCAAGGTCCCCACAGTTCAACCCTGAGCTACAGAGATTCTCTTCTATTGAAATCAGTAACTGCTAACCCTTGGTCTGAATTTGAATGTGAATCAGAGGAGTGGATGCTTGAGCAAACAGCTACCACCACTGGCAATGGATCACCTTATAATACAGATTGGGACCTTGGTATTCCAGGAAAAAGAATAGCTCTCCACTGTTATAAGCTAAGTAGGGTTGGACCTAGTTAACACTTGGATGGAAGACCATCAAGAAATCCCAAAGCTGTCAAAACAACTTCCTGAATGGAGGCACTGGCAAATCACTTGCCAGGAAAACAACCCGGATGAGTCACAAGGAGTCAAGCTTGACTCAAAGGAGATCTTACTTTATCATTCACCATTTAAACTTATTAGCAGTGGTAAGATGGATGGAGGAGCGAGGCTCCACCTGCTGGCCACACAGTCACACTGCAAGGATCCTTCAGAGCAGAAGGAAATTGATTGGGGGCAGTCTCTATAAATTTCTGTCTTCCCCAGAATTTCTGGATAAAAGTATGAATGCAAGGATACCACTGCCCAAGAGGAGAGCTCTGGAAGTAGAGCAGAGGCAAGACAGGGATCAGCATGTGCTTTGATATTATAATCAATGCAACAATACCAATATACAGCATTTCTGGAATGATGGTCTTTGAGGGGAGATCTTAACTTATTGGTGCATCTGTAGTTTCAAAGAAGATAGTGGGAAGCCCCCGTCCTTGGAGAACTGATCTCAGCCAAAGTAGGTCGTATGGGGTTGGATCAGTTCTCCAAGGTGACACTTTCCAAATGTGCTGGGAAACCAACCTGATATTTCCTAACCATGAAGAAGCCAACAGACTGGGAAGGAAGGGTTCGATAGAACCAATAATTTGACTTGATTTTTAGTGAAGACAGAGAGATCAACACATGTGAGCGTAACTTCATCCCAAACATCCACCGTTATGGTGGGAGCTGTTAAGGTGCTAACCTTGGAAGGCCCAGGTTCAGCCTACATTCAGTCATGGTTGCATTTGCCTAATAGGCTGAACCACCACAAGGTTGCCCTGTTTTAATTGAACAATCTCATTCTGCGTGGCTACTCAGTGGGTTGTGTATCCCTCTTCCCTAGAAAACTGGCTTGAGTAAACTATATTTAAGTTAACCATGGGTGTGCTGTATGTGTGCAGCCACTGGGTGACTTAGTTGAGCTAGACTCAACCTATGTGTAGAAGCTGTGGTTGAGGATAAAATAAGAGGAACCCCACCACAGGCATCTGGTCCAAGCCATGATGTCACATGTTTGATATCATGTGCAAATAATTCACATAATTTGGTGATGTCGTGGCACACGTGGGGACATTTGTCCCCACCCCCAGTGCCTTCCCACAGACACCTGCTGAGTTTCTAGAAGGAAAATGGGATATTAATATAATACATCAGTCATTTTACACCATTTCAACTGTCCTGCTTCACCCCAACAGCCCTGGGGATTGTAATGGGCTACGACACCTTCTCAGAGATCAGTACCTCTTTGTCCCACTTCAAAATGATGTCCCCCATGGAGGAAAAAAGTCATCTCCAACACTTTGGCTTCTTCCCTCCAGATGTCAACGGTGCCACAAAACCAACATCGGCTTTCAACCACCTTGCTTTGCACGAAACCTGCATCTTCCTGAATGGTAGCCAAAATCAGAAAAGGCACCAAGACCATTTGAAAATGGCATTTATTACTATTCTGTGAGCAATCTGTTATTCTCCTGGCAATCTTTTCTTTCCAGGGCATCCCCTCCCTCACCCATCATCAGTGCAAATTGGGGTTAGTAAAAACAAGACTGCCACACACACGCACTCAGACAAACAGTCATACCTTCTCAGAAACCTCACACGGGCTTTCTCTATTACAAGCTTTTACTTAGTGAAAAACTTCCCTTCAGATAAACTCTGACTCAGCAAGCCACTTGGCTGTTTTCCTGAGCAATCCTGGCCTATTTGGGAGACTAGCATTGGCTTGTGCTACAGGAATTCCCAAAGACATCAAAGTTGGCTTGGAGGACATTTGAAGGAAGGCGTACTTCTTGGAAGGGTTGCTGACCGCCAACAAAGAGGGTGAAAGGGCCAGGCTCCAGCCACCATTGTCCAGTCCATATGGCTCTCTGGCTGAAAGATAATGGGAAGGTCACCTTGGCAGCTTGTCCTTGGGGTATTGGCAACCTGAGGAAGCCAACTAGCTGCCAGCGGGGCATAGGCACAGATGCCTGTCCCCAGCAGAGGTAGAGCTGCACCACCTGCAGAGGAGAAAAAATGTTAGACGTCATCAAGAGAAGAAGAAGACACCAGTAGATTCTTTGCACATACAAAACATATTCCTACTTTTGGAGCACCCATGGAGAGATCTTTTATGAACAATACCACCCATCTATCCAGAATCAAGGACACTGAATTTATGTGAGTGACCCCTGTAATCCTTCATCTACCCATCTGAAAATTATTAATAATTTTTCTCTTTGCCTTGGTTCCTTGAGGATTAGAGACAAACATGTGTATGACCTTATTTGGAAGTATACAGTGAACCAAAGGGGTCAATTTCTTCCTCTCCTCCTCTTTCTAGCAAACCAGGGGGGTTCTACAAACCCTGCCAGTGGTAGAAACAAGGGAACTTCATGGCTTCTAAGATCCAGAGAATAGTTACTTGCATTTTAATCCCTGCCTGACTTCTGTCCTCTATCAAATAGGGAATATTCTGTGCTTCAAGCAAAAACCATTGCTCAAAGGAGAGTTGAGATATGTAATTAACCTGGATTTGGACAAGTATTCTTTATTTTGCTTATCTAATCCTGTTTCTGCTGGCCCTGCAACCTGATCCCTAACAAATCTATTTCAGCAAAGCCAAAATTGGCTTTCAGTTCTTTGTTCAATGCTGTTCTTCATGAACCAAGAACTGGGACTGAAAATCAACTGCCACCTTGGATTCATAACCCTTGTGAAATTTCAGTAAGACTCACTCGTATCTTAAATACCTCTATACACCATAAATGGGCCTTATAAATACATACAAATATCCTTAGGATGTTGAGTTGGAAGCCAACTGCATGGAATTTATCCATCAACAGAGACACCTCCAGCTATTGCTCTTTATCCCAACCTCTCTCCCCTCACCCGTCTTTGCATGCAGGCAAGCAACGGAACTCCTCACCTCTTCACCATTTCTGGACCCGACGTTCTCCACCACCACGGAGATGCTAAGATTGCCACAGATGGGCACATGGTCAGCACTCACTACCAGATCACTGTACTGGAAGGTGGTATACGAGAGCCCGTAGCCAAAGGGATACAACGGAGCCTCTTTCCCGTAGTAGCGGTACGTCCTGCCAATCATTGTGTAGTTCTCCATTGGTGGTACCTGCAGTTGAGGACATGACTAGCTGAAGAAGATGGAAAGATTTGGGGCTACAGCAAGCAGGATCTAGGAGCCACTCAAGGGAGTGTCCCCACCCAGTCTTATCTGTTAACCACCCTTGAATGAGCTCTCTAAATTGTCCCAGTGTCAGTTTATCTTTCTGTAGCTAAGGTTTAATTACTGATTTGTTCTCCTTTGCTTTTATTTTAAATGGTGTAACAGCATTATTTTGCTGTACACTTTAAAAACAATCCTTTCTATTCAAGGGGCAGTTAATGGACTGTAGTTAATCCCCCAGTTGAGACCAACAAAAAACTAATTCAATGGGTTGAATCTGCATAAACCTTTAATTAAAATTGCCAGCGGCCTTTGCAGAATGTGACGTGCTTCAAAGGAAATATTGCAACAGAATCTGGCTATGGGAAAGGACGCTGCTGAATAGCACACCGGACTTTAACATTATATGATGTGTTTCTGCTCTATATTTAGAAAAGTCAAGTCTCCTTCAAGTCAAACCCAACTTTGGAGAACTTCACAGAGTCATCTATGTAGTTTCCCTGGCAACAGTACAGAAGTGTGTGGTTTTTTTTAATGCCTTTTTTCAGGATGTTGTATGAGTTCCCAGTCTAGTCTACCACCTTGAGATTCTCTGGTGATCTCCCATTCAAGCAGTAATCCCATCTGAGCCTGCTAAGCTTTTTGAGATCAGCCAAGGTGGTCAAGGGATCTGTTTCAGCTTTGACTATCTTGGAAAAGCCCAGCACATTTGTAGCTGTGCTGGGGATTCTTGGAACAAAGACCTTTGAGCATGATCATGTGGCCATGCAAAATTGCTGATCGTGTTCCCTCTGTGTGGGTTAGTCTTTGCTGTCTGGAATGTGATTGTTATTGCTCTTATGAAGATTTTTTTTTTAATATTGCTTGAACCTTGTTGGTTGTAGGACTCTTTACTAGGTTGTAGGCAGAGTAAGCAAGTAAAAAATAAATAGTAAAACTTGACTTTCTTCTGCCTGGTAATGTTTCAGATAATTGAAAAGTTCTTTTGAATTCTCTTTCTGGCTCATCCTATCATCATCGTCGTCATCTAATACACTTTGATCAACTCAAGGTGCTGAAGTTATCTAGTTAATTCTTAAGATTAACCAACCGTTTTTCTTCATAGGACTTAGTTTCCAGGTCCTGGTTATCTTTATTGTCCTTCTCTGCATTTGTTCCAATTTCTCTGAATTGTTTTTAAATATGATACCCAGGACTGGACCCAATATTTCAGAT